TCCCGCCCTACAGCCTGCCCGCCCCGCAGCCCACACTGGCAGAACCTGGTGGGAAACCAGCTGGCAAAGCAGCATGCAGCGTGCACAGTCCCAGAGGCAGAAAGCAGCGCACAGAGGGGTGGGCACGGGCTGGAAGACGGTAGCCGGACGACGCACACGCTGCACATTTACGAAGAGAAGCTCGCCCCGTGTTTAGGTCTCTGGCTCACATCTTAATTCACAACAAACTAAATTGCCTCAAAATATTTCAAATAGGGACAGAGGAAATGGCAGAGTAATCCAACATCAGGCTGAGTCCCACCAGAGCCACACTTAGCAGGATCTCTCCTTACAGCTTCGAGGAGCATTCTAAGAGCCTGCTGTTAGTGTCTGAATTGCTCTTACCTATGAAAAATGGGCCCCTTCGAAGCCATGTGCAGGCCCTGCTTAAAACAATAAGCTTTTCTAACCCCCGAGCACGACATACTCCGGGAGCATGGTCTGGATGCTTATCAAACAAGTTCCCGGGCCGTTCTCTGAAGTTTCTGGGCAAGTACAAACAACAGAGTTAAATAAATGCCTTTTAAAAGCAAGGCAGTGGAGCACGTACCCTGTCAGTGAGATCCTCATATCCCCACAGAGTAAACAGTAACATGAGAATATTTATACTAAACAAAACTGTATATCAAGCCTGCGTTGGCTCAGCCAGAGGGAATGATAAATTCCTTGCAGATCTCTCACAGAGTGGTCCTTTGTGGACCACGGACGCCACTTGCAAGACAGTACAAACCAATTACCAAGCAAGGCTTTTCATTACGTTGAGGAATGAAAATATTACCCCCCATTTTGTTTTATTTTGCAGTTTTATTTTACTTAGTCCACCCCACTCCCTTAGGTTGAAATCGTTTTAATTTATTGTTGAGTCAAGCCCAAATTCAGGTTGGAAACAAATGATACCACCCCCTAACAAAAACAACAAAAGCCCCCATCACCCTCACAGCCTAGCTTTTTGCGTTCCTTGTCCCTCTTCTGAGAGACTAAAAGTTAAAGTGTGAAGAGGGTAGAGCAGAAACACCGAAGGGTTGATAAAATGTAAACTCTCTGCCCACATCCATTTTGCCCTGGTCACAACCCACGCAAGCCCCAGGCAAGGTCATCTGGCAGCAGATGGAGGTTAAACAAGCTATGAAGCCACGTTCCATACAATGTCCACTTTGTGGTCCTGCAGAAAAAAACGCTGCGGAAACATCTGCACAAGCTGTCGGTTTGCTTCTAACAGGCCAGCATGAGAAAAGGTTAATATGAGTTAGGGTATTTGTCAGTTCACTTTGTCAGATTTTCTCAACCCAATTTGATAATCCTTAGATGTTATAGACCTATCCCAGCTACTTCTGCCAGCTAAGGTAAAGAAAATACTGACGATATGGTATCTGCCCGTGGATTAAACCTACAGCAATTTACTGCTAGTTCGGATTTTCTAAAGAACCGTGGTGAAGCAAGGGAGGAGGGAAAGAAAGCCAGTAGGAAAGAACAGGGGAATTAGGATATGACCAAGGGGTAAGACATCATTGTACTGGTTTTGAAAACTCTTCATAAAAAAAATTATAAATTATTGTTTTTCGATTAAAGGCCAAATTTAATCAACTCTATTTTAAACCATTAAACCTCATATGTAGTGCCAAAGTCCATCATAATAGGTTAAAAAAGGAAGAACAGGTCTTTTATGTTTGTGTATTTAATGGATATGAGAAATTTGCCAAAATTTTATTTAGAAAGTATAGGCTTAGTGAAATTATCTTATTCAGGTGTTTTTAACTTTTGTGGAATTAATATATACTTTTTGTTAATTGCAGTAAAATAGACATATATATACAATTTACCATTTTAACCATTTTTAAGTATATAGTTCATTGGCATTAAGTATTCGCATTACTGTGCAACCATCACCACCATCCATCTCCAGAACATGTTTTATCTTCCAAAACTGAAACTCTGATGTTTAGTTCTAAGCAGACCTTGGGCAAAGCCAGCAGCCTGGAAGACAGCGACAGGAACCTGGAGAGGTTAATTCAGGTAACTGGCGAATGAATCAAATCCTCTTACAATCCCAAATAACTCCGCGGCACCATGTGCTTTTACCCTCTTTCATCTGCTGAATATTGATGCCCATAAGAGCAAAGCTCTAGAATAGATAAGGAAAGAGTATTAACAATACATTTCATTTTTACATGTCAGCTTACAAATGCTTCTATCTAGTTCCCCAGAATACATGACTTTTCCCTATTTTAAAGGTGATGGAACTATGGCTACATGGGAGGTGAGACCAAGCCCTCCAATCCACTGACCAGTGCTTGTTCCACCAGCTACATGGCCTCTGCCAAAGCAACGAACAACTAGGTGCTATTGCTTCCTAGCTCTCACAGTCTAAGAAACTGACCCATTGCATCTAACTGAACAACATTTGCTCTCTTCACCACAGCAAAACCTAGTCCATCATTTCTCCATCTTTTTGGTGTTTATATTGACAGCAAAAACACCCAAAGCAGCATAATTCTGGAACAAAATTAATACAACCAGACTCAAGAGTCAAATGTAAGTAAAAAAATATTAGGATAGATTACTGGATCCTATAGAAAGTTTGAATTCAATCTCCTTTTTATTTTTAATTCCTTAAATTCATATTATGTGCTCTCATTTGGAAAGACCATGGTCTTTCTTGATAAACAAAATCAACAGAAAAAATACATTTCTTTGTGCTTTATGGATAGCAAGTACCTTGTACTAAAGCAATATAAATACTACAGATTTACATAAAATTGCCAGAATCAACAAGTGGCTTCTTTTAGTTCACAAAATGACTACATATTTTGATTTCTTTCAAATAAAATTCTTCCACTGATACTCTTCTCTTTGCTCAAAAGCAGTATATTCCCTAAATCTTCAGACTTGCCATTTAAATTCCAAAAAGGATAAACACAATTCCTTGAAGTCATGCCCAACACCACCATTCCATCCTCCTATATAAACATTAAAAAATTAGACAAATCATGTTTTTGGAGTTATCGCTGGAATAAACAATAGGTTATCCTAAAAGTGGTAAGGCAAAAAGGAACAATCATGTGTCGACAGAGTAATTTTATTTTATAATTCTCTCCACTTTTTAGTCACTTAGTACTTTATTTTTTAAAGTACACATTACAAAAATGATTACTTGAAAAATAAAAGTTGAATACAGAGCTTGGGAATAAAGAGTTTGGGAAAACCAAGTACAGTAAGTCAAGTCCATTTTTGGTGTTGATCACAATAATCAAAGGTGGTTCAGCAACCATGGCCATATTATTCAGCTGATTCAGGAGGGTTTCTGATGCACAAAGTGAATAAACTTGGTGCAAAGTAGGTTCTCATAAAGTTTTAATGACAACTAGAAATATCACAGGGCAATTATGAACAATCCATAAAGACTGATTGTTGAACAAAGAATGCTTCCAATTTTCCAATATACAGCTATAACCAAGCTCTTTGTATCTTCATCTTCATTGGCTAAAAAAATCTTTGTAATGATTGATATTTTTCCTTGAAATTTCCATGAATTCTTAAACTGGATCACATGAAAACACCTCCCCGTATCTTCCAGAATTCCCCAATATTTTCCTTTATAGCATATTCAGCACAGTTCTTGCACTCTTGGGGTGTAAATCCAATTAATGCTCTCCCGATAGTACCAATTCCTCGATCACCCGCCAGCTTTTTAACTTGAGCTTCTATGTAATGAGGAGATATGTAAGAAAAATGATCCCCAAGAACACTATAAGCCATGTATTGAGAGTCTTCTGAGGTTTCTGTAGCTTCTTGGTCTTCAAAACTCTCTACGTTGCAAGCTATCTCAATTTTTCCTTCATGGGGAAAAGCCATCGCTTGGACACCCTTCAATCCATTTGCATTTGAGCCCCGAATGGCACTAGCAATCTCTTTTCCCAAAGCCAAGTCTTGAGAGTCTATGGTAACATTGCAGTTCATCACGTACGGGCTGGCGCCGATGCCTAAATCATTAGAAGAGCATGTTAATCAAGCAAAGCAAAAACCTCCCTCTGAATGTTTGATTCTTTAGCCAATTTTAATCTAAGGAGCTACCTTTACTTAGTTTTATTTTAAAATATTACAAATATTTCTCATTATCAACTCCAGAATTTTATTTAAAAA